TCTCTCTCTCTCTCTCTGTCTGTCTGTCTGTCTGTCTATCTACTATCTATGAAGATGATGATCGTGTCTTGACTTTTTTATACTCTATTACAATGATGAGGATGATGATGATGATGATGAGGAGGAGGAGGTGGAGGAGGAGGTCGAGAGACGACGAAGAGGAGGATACTACAAGAGGGAAGTACGTCTATCTAACTATCTATCAGTCTGGCTGTCTGTCCGTCTCTCTGTCTGTTTGTGTGTCTGTCTCTCTGTCTGTCTGTCTATTTATCTATGTATGTCTATTGTCTGTTTTTCTGTCCGTCTGTCGTTCACCCACCCGTCCATCTGTCTATCTATTGATCTATGTATCTATTTATTTCTGTCTACACACATGCTTGTATTACGTTCTTTTGAGATCTGACTTGAGGTCTTGTTGGAAACCTCTCATCTGGTTGACCTACCTGAATTACAAGTCTTCGATGTCCAGTGCAAACGTTGTTGTTGCTTTCTTTTTTAAAACTGTATCTCACCTACTAAAACACTAACCAGTTTTGTAAAAAAAAAAAAATATTGTTCCAGAATTATTTTCTAACTATGCTTTGCTTTTGCCTTTATTTTTCAGCCTGGGGTTACAGCGTGGAAGGCGGTCATGGTAAGTGACAACCTAAGAAATAATAATTTTTTGAATTGTTGTTTGCTTAATTTTAACACCTTTCCAGATACAGAATATGTTATTTTGAATACAGAAATGATGTTTTCCTTCTGAAAGGACACTGGAAGAGAGAAGCATGTCTAATTATACCCGAACTACGTGCAAAGTTTAATCTCATTGTTTGGAATATAATTGTGAGCTTTCAAGAATTGACAAGAGTCTGCAACCAACTTTGCAACAGCTGCGCTTTTCAACCCTGGGATGATATCATCGGATAAAAATGGCGGGCACAGTCATGTTGTATACCGCAGTGTTTTCCCACCAGGATATCACAACCCACTCCCATAAATCCCCGTCAGCCTGCTTTGCCTAAGAGTAGTAGAGTCTTGTGCCTGGTAGCTAAGGGATTAAAGATTTCACTGTTTGAGATGGGTTAGTTTAAGTAAGAAAAAACACATCGACGCGAAAATAATGATAATTTGAGGTGGGGAATGGGGAGGGGGAGGGTGGATTAGATGTTGAAATAGACAGACCCAACAGAGGGAAAAAAAGAGATGGCTTCACCAAGTAGCACCCTCTAACCTCCCATAATGTGAGCAGTCCTCTGTTTAGTTTCAGGAAGAGTTTTACGGTACAAGCAACACACTTAGGTCATGTAAATGCCAAAGATAAGAGGTATTACAAGAGAGTAACTAACACAAAAAAGGAGAGATGAGCACGATATATTATTATGTTTGATAGGAAAGAAGAAAAGAAGCAAACCATACCACTGCACCATATTATGCCTAATGTGAGCTGTGCTTTGTGTAATACAAGTTGACACTGGGCGTAGTGAAAACATGTTTGGCACAACTCCAGCTGAGAGTACTGATTACAACCTGTTGGATTCTTTTTCAAAATTATGGGTTTTTTAATTTTTAAAAACGTGTTTCATGTTGCAATGATCGGAGTGAAATGGTCGGCATCCAGAATTATGCATACATGTATTTTTGTATGTTTGTGTGTGTGTGTGTGTGTGTGTGTGTGTGTGTGTGCGTTTGTGTATGTGCATATTTTTCTGTCTGTCTGAGTGTTTAAGCGTGTGTGCATGTGTGTGGGTGCGCGCGCGCGCGCGCGCGCGCGTGTGTGTGTGTGTGTGTGCGTTCATATAAATTTGTTAAATGAGAGATTATCCGGCCTTAAATTGAAATTGTTTTTATCTTACTTATATATAAGAACTAATAGATGAATTTTATTGATATCCCAACCCTTCTTCCGGATTCAATGGAAAGATAATAATAATAATATATTGTGTCGCAATGTCATTATTTTTGTGCTGTTCTTTACTTTGCCAGGTCCAGAGCACTGGTCCTCTGTGTACGTGGACTGTGGCGGGAAAATGCAGTCCCCAATTGACATCAACCTAAACAAGGTCCTGTATGACCCCAACCTTGAACTTTTTGACCTCAAGGAGTACAGCATCACCCACAACGTTGTCATGGAGCTGATCAACAAGGGAGGCCACACAGGTAATCTGAAGTTGATTTGTAGTGTAGTTATTGAAGCCGTAATTTAAGTTGTCCTCAACGTTAAGAATTAGGATGCAGCCACCCTATACGCTGTCTGAAGAATGTTAAGAATTAGGATGCGGCCACACTATATGCTGTCTGAAGAACGATAAGAATTAGGATGCGGCCACACTAAACGCCGCCCGAAGAACGTTAAGAATTAGGATGCGGCCACACTATACGCTGCCTAAAGAAAGTTAAGAGAATTAGGATGCGGCTACTCTAAACGCTGCCAGGTAAATGCATTACAAAGGAAAGCAATGGAGCACAAACATTTCCTGTTTAAATAAAAACCGGTTTAAAAAGATGTTTAGATCACTTCTGTACGTTTTCAAGAAGTGATATTCTGTGCTCTATCTGTTTGTCATTGGGTGCTTGTCTGGCAGCATTTAGTGTGACCGCATACTTGGGTTCTAATCTTAACAAATTACTGCGTTCATGCACGTGGGTTAGCCGTACTAGATGTACTAGGGAAAGACTAACGTGTAATTAAGCAATGATTCTCTGAACTCACAACCCACCCATTCTGAGGATAATATGGTAATAACCTAAAAAGCATACCGTCCTGAAGATATAATGAAACCCACAAATCCAGACATTTTGACGAGATGGTGCACGAGACGACATGGTGCAAGACTATTTTTACTCAGTATCTCGAACGCCCGCCCTCTGGAACATTGTATCTCACTCAGATCTGGTTGACCATCACTGGCAGGGTCGAAGCAGCCCGCTTCCTACACGATCAAAATTGTGTTGGTTTTGGTGTACAGTATTGGTTTAAGTCATAATATGTTAAATTATTTCAAGTCATTAGCTAATGGCCTATACAGTTCCTGACCCGTCCAATGGGGTCAGTCCTCTCACCTTCTCACCCTGTCACCTTGTCATTCTCTCACCCTGTCACATTCTCATCCTGCCCCCCCTCCAGCTGAAGTGATGTATTCCGGCAAGCCCCTGTACATCACTGGTGGCAGTCTGCCAGACACCTACAAGTTGGACCAGTTCCATTTCCACTGGGGGAAGGTAGACAAGAGGGGCTCTGAGCACTCCCTCAACAACCACCACTACCCGATGGAGGTGAGGGAGATTGATTCTTTGGTGCCGGTCCACTTGACGGTCTACTTTTTTTTTACTATGATTCATCCCTGCTGTGACAATATTGGTTTGGGTTAGAGATAGGGTTATGGACATTATGGTTAGGGTAGGGTTAGGGTTAAGTTGAGGAGGGGGTTGGGGGGTCAGGGTTGTTAACTGTAGTAGACCTCTAGACTTTCATGTAGTACAATTGTGAGGCAGCGTGGTGGAATCAGGCTCTCGTCAATTTTTAGGCAGATAGAGTTACTGGTATCATCTTAAAGCTTGTTCACTTGTCTTTATTTGGATGAAAAAAAATATCCGCTTATCTTA